TCCAGTGATGCAGGCCCAGGGTCTGGAACCCACTTCGGCACCTCCAGGTCCCGTAGTCAGCACCACAGCAAAGCCCGGCTCTGATACTCCTCCCAACCGTGCCCACCTGGGCCTTCTTGAATCCACCTGGGGGCGGCCCTCCTGCCTTCACAGGATCCTGGTATCTAGCAGCCTCCCAAATCCAGGCAGGAAGTTTCTGTTAGAAGCTGCTAGAAATCAAGGGCGCCTGGGTGGCTCATTGGTTAAGCGACTGCCTTCAGCTCAGGTCATGATCCTGGAGTCCCGGGATCGAGTCCCGCATCGGGCTCTCTGCTCGGCAGGGAGCCTGCTTCTCCCTCTGACCCTCCCCCCTCTCATGTGCTCTCTCTCTCTCTCTCTCATTCTCTCTGTCTCAAATAAATAAATAAAATCTTTAAAAAAAAAAAAAAAAGAAGCTGCTAGAAATCAAACCACCCTTTCTGGGACATACATAAAATCTCCTCTGGGTGCCTGAAGATGATTTTATGGGCTTCCTTATCAGGGCTGTGCAGAAATTGCAGGCGCCGAGACAGAGAGTTCCTTAGTGAATTATTGAAATAGGAGGCCAGGTTACATTAAAATGATGGATCTGGAGCTGAAAAAATACATTTGGATGCCCTCTGTAGCTCCAGGCTTTCCCGCCTTGATCCCCTCACCTCAGATCCAGGCTGCTGTTTAAAGGTGGAGGTAAGGTCTGGATCCAGAGGAAGGCCTTTGAGGGGGCTGTTAGCTCCCCAGAGTGTGGGCTCCCTCAGGGTTGGAGTCTGTGCTGACCTGTCTGTCCTCAGAGGGTCTGGAGAGGGCCTGCTCATGGGTGGACAGGGGTGTAAATGCACGCTAACTCAGATTCAAAGCTCTTAACCAGCGCGCTATGTTGTCAATTGAGACCAGGTCTCCAGGCTCCCCCTCCACCCTCTCTACACCGCCCATAGCCTCCTAGCCAGGTGCAGGGAGGCTCCAGGCCTCTGCAGCTCAGAGCCTCTCATCCTGCTCTGTGGCCAGGGCTTGGGCCCCAGCAAGAACAGACCTAGGACAGCCGCTTGGCAGCCAGACCATGCACATCACTTTCACGACCTCCTGCAGCTCAGCACAGCCCTGGACACCACCTAGTGGGCCACCATTAAAAGTGAGGACATCCTGGAGGACAAGAGGACAAGGGAATTGGGAAAATTGCCTCTAAGAGACCAACACCAAATCTCACCCGCCCCTGCCTCCCAGTTTGTTGCTCAGAAAGATTTATGGTGCTGCCTACATGGGTCACTCTTGAGATAAAGGTCATTGATCTTGCAGCTGACAGGCCTCCTCAATCAGCGCTTCAGGGAAACTTCCACAGCTGATAAATGAGCTGTCTCTAAGGCCTCAGTGACGGGCTCCTAAAGGTCTGCATTGCTTAGGATTTCTCATTCATCCTGCAGGAGAGCCAGCCGCCCCTGATGCCAATATAGCAAGGGAGACAGCTGAGTGAGGCTCCGAGAGGAGACTTCCAGGCCCAGCACTGCCCCATGGACCCACTCAATCCCCTCAGCAGGTGCCCAGTGCAGAGGGAGCACCATTAGCCCTCAATAATGAGGAGCCCTGCATAAGGTTAGTGCTCAGCCAAGGAAATGTCAGGGGCAGAAGTGGGAGGATGGACAAACTGGTGAAGAGGGACCACATGGCATTTGGAGACAGGAGGCTAATAGGAGCTTTGTACCAACATTGCTCATTGCCTACCCAATGTCCATGCTGCCTTCCTTCTCCCAGGTGCAACTCTTGCGGTCGTTTGGAGCAATGTGCCCAGGTAAAAGCCTTTACCTCCTCTGACTCCCCTGCAGCTGAGGGCCCTTCTGGAAATCTAAGTGGTATTCTACTAGGGGTTTCTGGAAAGGGCTTTCTTTCCTGTTACAGGCACTGCCCCTTGTACCGTCCCCTTCCTTCTTTTTCATGCCTTTGTGCAGATGTGGCAAGAGCTGTGGAGCATCTCTCTTGCAACATGTAAGGGATGGAAGATCAAAAAGATAGGAGGACCTAGGATCCTAATGACAGGATGGATCTGCTGTGCCCATCCTGGATTGCTGACCTCTGGACTCACGGCTATGTGAGCACCCTAACCCGCTCTGTGGTTAAGCCACTGCAGTCATTCTGCTGCCTTGTGGAGCCAAAGGATCTCAGGTGATGGAGTCCAAGCTCTGGTTCTGGGAATCTGAGCAAGCAGCTTAACCTCTACCTAGCTTGTTTCCCCATCTGTATAGTGAGAAGTGGTTCTTACCCCTACGGCTAATAACTCACCCACGGAGTGTTCCACATGCACCTGCCCCTGCCCTGAGAAAGCGCCCCTGGTATACCCCAGGTAGAGGCGTACTGCTCAAAGTAACACGGGCCTCACTGGGCTTTTATGAGAAACAAAAAATTCCTTGAAGTTCCGTAGTAATATAAACAGTTACACATGTGTTACTAATTCTCCATTCCCGGGAGTCAATGGGGTCAAAGCTAGGAAGATTCTGCACTCCTGGAGCAGAAAGTGAACTCAGGAGACATGCCCCCATCCCACTCAGAGGGAAGGAGGAAACAAAGAAGCCGAGTAAGTGCCTGTGGAGTAAAAGCAGGCCCTTCTGCCCTGCTGCGCTTCAGGGCCTCCTTCAGAAATTAAACCCCAGGGGCGCCTGGGTGGCTCAGTCGGTTAAGCGTCTGCCTTCAGCTCAGGTCATGATCCCAGGGTCCTGGGATCGAGCCCCGCATCAGGCTCCCTGCTCAGCAGGGAGTCTGCTTCTCCCTCTGCCCGCCACTCCCCCTGCTTGTGCTCTCTCTCTCTCTCTCCCCCTCTCTCAAATAAATAAAATAAATAAATAAATAAACCCCAGGTGTCCCGCCAGCCCAGACGGGACCCTGGGACAGAGAGGTCGTCTCTCTTCTGTCTTCCTTCCCTGCACCCACACCCCGGGCTCGGGGGGTTGTGTGCAGTCGGGAGGCTCTCAGCGCTGTCGCTGCCCGAGACTGGGTCTCCTATTCAAGAAGCCGCTCTGCAGGCCCAGCCTCCCCGGGGCCAAGAGGGTCTGCCTTCCATATTTTAGGGCCTTCTCAAGGACTCTTCACAAGCTCACAAAAGCGGACGCTGAGAGCTAGAGCCTGGCTCAAGGCCATGCCATCCGCTTACCAGAGGTCACGTGTGAACCCGCATCTCCTGACGAAGGCTTCTGGCTTGAGCCCCTGGGCTGACTGGTGTTCTGCCACTTTAAGGAATGACTCCCCCACCCCGCCCCCGCCTCCCTCTGGGTCTCGGTGTCTGTGTTTCCGTAGGAGCAGCGTCTCGTGTCTGGCTGTATCTGCACATGTGCATGTGTGCGTCTTTCCCATTGTTTCTGTCTCCCTCTGCTTGTCTTCCTGTGCCTCATTCTCTTTCTCTTGGTCTCTCTCTCGCTTGGCGTGAAACTCACACCCCTTTCCCCAGGTCTCTGTTTGTCCCCCCGTCTCTGGGTGCACATGTGTCTCTCGCCTCCCCCACCCCAGCCCCCACTAACACCCCAGACTGAACCAGCTGGTTACCACCACTTGGCCCCTCCTCACATGCCTTCTTCTCCTGTAAATATTTCCTCAGCGCTAACCGAGTGCTAGGCACAGGGCATAACCTCAGAGTCAAGCAGGCCGCGTCCTCTGGGAGCTCAAAATCCTCTTTTCCAAATGTGGGGAAGGATCTGGCTAAGAGGCTCCCACTTGCCCCTTGGGCCTCTCTAGCCTGGAGAGGAGCCTGACCCCTCTGAACTGCCTGCCTGTCACCTGGAACAGGGCAGGACCAATGACATCCTGAAGGATCCTGGGACGGTCCAGTTTGTTCACCAGGGGGGGATCCCATATCCCTGAGCAGGTGGATTTGAGAATTACCGCCGAACCAAGTCCCCAGGCCCACTTAATAGGAGGCTCAGCTGCCGTATGGTGAAGCTCAGCTGAGCGGATCATTTTACTCTTCCGATCGGACTCCTGGCGACCACAGTTACTCAAGAGGAGGAGCGGGCAAAGGGACAAGGCAAAGCAGCCATTGGAAACATCCAGCCTCCAAAAGGCAATGCCACCTCCCTCAGAGGTTGTCACTGGGATTAAAGATCAAGTTCTAAAGTACTTAGCAGGGTGTCTGGTACAAATAAGTGGCCACTGCTACTACCATCACAGCAACAAATAGGATTATTTACCATTGACAGACGATGGGGACATCGTTGGTCCAAATGGCCCAGAAAGCTGGGCTTCAGTATTCTTCTTGAGCCATGTTTGTACTTCCCAGGGACTCCTAGGTGCTTTTTAGCACCCCCTCCTCCCCTCATGACCTCCTCGAGGATGCAGCAACAGATGCCTAAGGACACAACTCCAGAGTACAACCAATATTCTGGCTCCATTCCTTTGCAGCTCTGCTACCTTATGCAAGTTATTTAACCTCTGTGCATTTCATATTTTCGTCTGCAAAAGATAATACTAACTCAGCAACCCATGATGAGCATTAAATGCACTGAAAGAAGTAAAGCACTTGAAAAGTGCCTGGCACATGGTACATACTCAGTAAATGTTACCTAGTATTATTTCATATATGTTGATATTTTAGAAACAGGCATTTAAAAGTTGTACATATTTAATAAAATATAACTAATATTTGTATATGTAATAAAAGCATTGCATCTATGAAACCAATAGGTCTTATAAAAAAAACTTCTAAAAATTGATGTTTATTTATAGCCAGATGTGTTTCCTCTTCTCCGTGCCTGAGACCAGCACACCCACCTGACGATGATCACTGGATAGATGCCCACACCACCAAACACCTACTAGAGGGACTGGCCTCTCTGGGCCTCCCTGAAGGTCATGGTGGGTGTGACACTGTGCTCAGGCCAGGGAACAGAGACCCTGGGACACAGACCCTGTCCAGCGGATCTTAAAGAAAAAAAAATTTTTAATCTGAAGATAACGTGGGAATAAGACATGGTGGAGAGCCTGGACTATGGAAATAAAATCCTGAGAAAGGTTTTCACAGTTCAGCTTTTATTAAAATTAACAAAGTATGGGAAACTAGAACTTGATTCCTGTTGAAATAATCCACTTGAGGAACGGTTTCTTCGGCTATCGCTGTAACTGATGGAACCTACGACAAGTGTTCTTTTACAAGATAGATGGGCTCTAACATCCAAGCAGAGAATAGGAGATCAAGGACCTTACCGATGCAGTGTGTTCACAAGGTATCAGCGATCAAGTCAGGTTGCCTGTGGACAACCACATGGACAGAGCACCCACACAGACATACACATTCAGCATCTTAAGTCTTCTTTCAACATATTTTATACATCATATACAAATTAGACAAAAAGTCCAACCGGGTCCTTTATTGCCACTGAAAAATGGGGGGAAATAATTTTCAATCTCATAGCCAAAGGCAAGAACGTAGTACTAGGGCAATTTGTTTCTCCAAATGCCACAGTCACATGCATTCCTGCCTTGGCTGCTGTCATACCCACGAGTCACTCAGCCCCACGACAAAGGCTGTGCAAGGGCTAAGAGGTGGTGATTATCCACTATAGAAGCCTCTTCCATTCCCAAATGTCGAAAGTGCTGCTGGCTCACCTCCTCGATCACACTGCACACACAGAGTACGGCCAAACATGAGGGGCTTAGGACTCTAAATAGTGCAAACACTTAAAAAAAAAAAAATTCCAACCTCCTTACTTCTCCAGGCAAACAAAGCCTTAAATACTCCAGCTAACTGGAATATGAGTTTGCTAAACCTCCCAACCTGATCCAACAAGGTGCAAATGGGGAGCATGGAGGCAATTCAAATGGCACCTGTCCCAATAATAATAAAAATAAAAAACTGTTTTAATGAGGCTAATGGCAGATAAATACATAAAATAGAGCCTGGAGTGTAGACACAGCTCAAGAAACAAGTTTTAGGGGTAGTGTGAGCATCTGTAAAGCACATGCTTAACACATTCTTAACGATCATGAGGACTGACCCCTGTTTTAAAGTCCATAGAGAAGATGCTTCCAAAAGGGACATCATCCAGCAGCAAAGGCCTTTAGCTGGTGGAAGCTTCCGAAGAACAAGGGGCAGAAAAGAATGAGGACTGGTTTGCCGGACCTAGGAAACTCCTAGGAGTATGCACTGTAGGGCAGGCCTTTCTGTGGAGCTTCTCCACGCCACAGCGTGCCAGGCTCAGCACCAGGCAGTGAGAGCCACCAGCAGATGGGCCAACCAGCCTCCCCCCTGCAAAGAGCGGGCTCTAAAAAAAAATGGCCAGGCAATATAGTTGGGTAATTGCTGAGTCAGGCTAAACGTTAGTCCCGAAGCAATTCCAGAAACACCAGGGATTGTGTTTTCCAGCAATCTCCTTTGAATATGGTATAAGAAAGAGGACTCAAAGTCAAAAAGACTCATCTATCTGGAACTACTGAAAAATCAGTTTTTGGAGGGTGACAAGCAAAGGGAAAATAGCTACAGGCATGAACTAGGAGAGTGAATGACTTACGGAACAGAACATTTCATTATCATGGATAATAAAAATCAATTCAAATATCCTAAAAAATTATCTTATAAAAATATCTACATTAAAAGTTTAGCCTGAACGCTATAGCTTCAGTTTTATAAAAAGGCAATCTTTGAAAGGCTCTGGCTCAGGAATATCCAAACATTACACAACAGATATCAAAGTAACACAGCTCAAAAAGCATGTCAGGGGATATTGCAACTGGTCTGTCGTGAAACAGAATTGAGTATTCTTATTGCATAGCAGAAAATGAGGTCAGTTTCATTTGCATAATACTGCAACTTTTCAGAAGGAGAGATGCCATTAGGTACTTAGGAGAAGGAACTTTGGAATTCAGAGTCTGACTTCTGTGTTGTCCAAATCAGTATCCAAGCGGCATCTAAGCGGCTTCTAACCTTGGGCCACAATTCCATTTCATCACTGTGATCAGCTTTCAGATACACCACCTGCAAAGCTGCATTCACAAGCAGCTACGGCCACCCAAATGGGAAGGGGGGGCAGGGGGTTTGCCTACCAATGTGACCAGCACAGACTTGAAATCAAGTCAGCTGTGTTCACTGTGGAGAGAGAATCGTACCTAGTGATAGAGAGACAGCAGGTTTTAAATGGCCTCTGTGGGCAGCTAGAGGCCGAACAGCTTTTTGGTGGTGATGTACCAGTGTTGGAGGCCCCATGAGAAAGGACGGGTGAGGAGGAGATGAACCTGGCCTCAGCAGTACTACAGGGGGTGGGAGGTGGGGGGGGGGTGCTTCCCGGGAAGGGAGACATGAGGTGCAACCAAGAGCAGAAAACATGGCTGGCGAGCTCTCAGGGAAGGGACCCGCTCTGGGCAGATAAAAAACAAGAACCTCCCCCACATATGCATCAAAGCCCAGCTCCTAGGTGTTGGGAAAGAGGGTGGGAAGTTCACCTTTAGTCTGAAATTAGGAGCTGTGTGAACAGCACACATGGGACCCCACCCCCCAGCCTCATCCCCATCAGAAACCAAAATAAAGTCCCAAACTCTCCTCAGGCCGGGAGGAAGAACATTTGCAACAGAAAGCTCATCCCATCAGCCTCCAAGCCAAGGCAGAGCTCTGAGACCACGGCCATCTCCAGGGCCAGGTGAGAACACAGCACCCAAACGAAGGCATGCCTTGAATCCGTTGGAGACTTCGCCTCCAGGCCCAACAAAGCTGGATATATCAGCCTCTTCCCGAAGCCACTAAGAATTCCGGATGCCTTGGGGCTACCCTCCAAATGTCTCACTGAGATAACATTTGCTCAACATCCTCAACATCAGAAGACGTTTCTTCTTCAAGAGAGTTGAGTGTTTAGTGCACAAAAAAATACACAGTAAATACACAAAGCGGCCAACTAGCTAGGGAGGCTACCGGCTTTCTAGCTGCAGGGGTGAGCTGGGGGGGATGCCAGTCTCCTGCAGTATCTGCTTGGAAGGAGCCCAGTTAGATCAGAAGTCCCACATCAGGTTTCATAAAGCCCCTTGACTCCTGTAAGTGGACCCCCAAATCAGGGAGCATTAAAGCCCAGCCCCCATGATGTGAGCATACTCTTCAGACACAAGACCTTCCCTCCTTATGCCACAAATTCCAACATAAGTGACTTGCAAGTTGAGGAATGGTTTCACGTTTCTTTTTTCTTTCTTTTTTTTTTTTTTAATGAAAATGATTCCATGTGCCCTCAAATACCCACCCCCGCCTCCAAATGCTTAAAGTTCTGTCATTAATTTTTACCTGTGAATTTGCAAAGCTCTCACCAAGCTTCTCTTTTAAAATGCAAGTATCCCTGAGAGAGATCACACATCCAGGGCATTTACCACCATCTCCTCCCTCTCAGGAAAAACAAGGAGGAAAGGAGTATTCTTAGGGTTGGAGAGAGGGTACAGACCCTGGAACAGGGGGAAAGCACAAGAAAAGGAAGACGAGGCCCTCAGACAGACTTGACCATCGCCATCTGGTGCTGAGGGCCAGCCCCAGCTGGTATACTCCTTTGAAGTCATCCATGTCCATCTAGATCACATATGACCCCCAAGGCAGGGGCCAAACTATCTTTGGGTTTGGAGGTATGGTGACCTTTTATTTATCCTCCAAACCAGAATACTTCTGAGAGTAAAATGGGATGCTGTGAAGAATTAAGCCTGGATAGTAAGTATAGATGGGGAGTGTCCCATCCCAGGAAAACCCAGAAGTAGGATCCTCTCTGAGACCATTTTAGGCAGCAACTGCCTTACCACTTTGGTTTGTTGTTTTGTTTTTGTTTTTCATGTACGTATATGTATTTTTTTTTCCAGTGTGATACTTGGGGCTTCTCCAAAGAGCTAGTTTTCCCAACAAAAGAGACACAAAATCTCCCAAACCTGGAATCCACAACCTAAAAGACCAGTGGCCCAAGGACTAGGCAGTTCTCATCTGCTTCCTGGAGGAGAGCCCAAGGAAGAGCACCCAGTGGAGGGGCTGGGGGCCCCATCTGTTCCCAGTTCTAGCACACAGAAGACACAGTGCGGATTTAAGAATGCCCAGCTCTTCTGCAGACCGTGCCAGGGGTCAGAGCCAGTCTGTAGGCATGGTCAAAGCAACGACCCCACCAGTCACCAGTCATTTCTGGACACTCCTGGCCTGTCCAAACAGACCTCCAGAAGACAGCAGCTTTAGTAATCTCGGGGTTCCCATGGGGCACATCCAGAAGAGAGGTTTCTGTGATTTGATTTTTAGCACAGAAGGATCAGTAGTAAAGAAATCCAGTAGATTGTCATACATCCCCCAACTTAGTGAAACACCATGTTCTACACACACACACACACACACACACACACACACACACACACACACCCAGGTTCTCAGGTATTCCAGTAGAAACACACAAAAAAGCCCCCAGGTGCTGCCTGGAGCTCTCAGGAACCCACTGCTCAGGGGGGAGGCCCGAACACCTCAGGGGGGCAGGGGGCGGTCGCCAGTCCCCACGCCGGACGCCACTTGGCCACGTCGGAGGAGGACACTTCTCGCTCCTCTGCAGACTCTGGCGGCGAGTGGCAGTCAGGGGGCTGATGTTCTGAGCCACAGGCAGCACCCCTCCCCTCCTCCACCTCCTGGCCGTGGGCGTGGGGGTCACAAGGGCTTGTGAATCACAGCGACACCTAAGACGAAAGGGAGAGAAAGTCAGCTTCTTCAGAGGTATCCAGAGTGCCACGGGGTTCATGAGTCCAAGCCACCCTAAAGCCCCAGTCAAGGGAAAGGGGCCCGTCGGTATCCAAGCACCGCAGGGCCCGAGAACTCGGGCTGCCCGTGGCGGGCTCGTTCCCATTCTGACGCCCAAGTCCCGCAGGACACTTGAACCCGCACGCACAGTCCTTCAGCACCACAGCTAGTGGTCTCCCCTCGCGTCATCGCGGGGACACGGTTCCTATCGTAAGGACTCCTTTCCCAAGCCCAGAACTCAACCTCACGACACGGCGCCGGCACCGGACGCCTGGGGGCAGCTCCATGGCCCTACCTCTCCACCACTGTAAGAGAAGTGACAGTGATTCATGCCTACTTTTACAAGACACTGAAATGAACCGCAAAGAACCGTGAACCGACGTCATGCAAGTGAGAAAAACTGCCCGTCAGTCCTAGCTCTGCCACCAGCTGAGCTGCAGTGCGGCCTCAGGCAAGTCCACTGACCTCTTGAGGCTCAGCTCCCATACTGTCTGATGTCACCCAATGGAAAGACCCCTCCCGTGCTAAATGCTGTACTGGGAAAAACAGTCCAGACATGTCTGTCTGCGTTACGATTTCAGCCAAAGTGAACCATACTCCACGGCTAACTCTGTGAATCCACAGATGACCCAGAGTGTCTCTGGAAGGTGGCAAACGCTGTAGGTGGATTCAGCCAACCTCCCCTCTCCTTGCTGTCCGCGACGGCAGAGACCAGCATGTTATCGACTCAGCTTCCCAGACTGCCTTGCAGCTGGCGTGCCGCGTGCCCCGGGCCTGGCCCAGACCATTGTCAGTGCACGTCTGGCCGGGCTGCAGCTTTGGCTCTGTCTGCTGCCCGGCCTGGAAGAAGGCTCACACACGGCCCACGGCGGTGGCAGCTATCGGCAAAGCCAACAAAACAGGAGAGGGAGGGCAGACCTGGTTTTTCAACGACAGCCTGAGCCCTAGGCCAGCCCTGGACTTCTGGACTTCCGTCTGCCTGAGACAGGTATGCTCCCTCCTTACTTAAGCAAGTACCTATCTGCTCCTCTGAACAAAATCCGAATTTACAGGTGAGATCTATTGGTACGGTGTACCTGACTGGAGCCTTACTTTAACTTATTCCCACGACTATAAAATCTTCTGGCTGCAGATGAGATTGAGAGAACACTGCTAAAAGAAATGCCAGGATACCCCAGGGGTGAGATTCTGCTAAGACACCCACTGCATGTGAGTTCTGGATAAAGGTGCAGAGAGAAAAGCTCAGAGGTGGGCAGCTCCATGGTCCCCAGACCCAGATGTGCTGCCTGACCTTGACAACACCTCACCTGAACCTCAGGACTCTTTTGTGGGGTAGCCCCCTTTTTTTTAAAGCAGGGTCCTGTATTGCTTTTTCATATAAGCAATATATAAAATTGCTTATATAAAAACAATATATAAAAATGCCTCCTCTTTTGGGGGCACCTGGGTTGCTCCGTCGGGTGAGCATCTGCCTTCAGCTCGAGTCATGGTCTCAGAGTCCTGGGATCAGGCCTTGAGTTGGGCTCCCTGCTCAGCAGGGAGCCTGCTTCTCCCTCTCCCTCTGTTTGCTACTCCCCCTGCTTATGCATGCTTTCTCTCTCTCTCAAATAAATAAAATCTAAAAAAATTTAAAAATAAAACATAAAATAAACCTCCTCTTTTGACTATAAAAGTGAAATATTCTTAGGGCGCCTGGGTGACTCAGTCAGTTAAGCGGCCGATTCTTGATTTCAGCTTGGGTCATGATCTCAGGGTCCTGGGATCAAGCCCCACATAGGGCTCCCTGCTCAGCGAGGAGCCTGCTTGGGATTCTCTCTCTCCCCCTGCCTCTGCCCCTCGCCCCGCTCACGCACGCTCTGTCTCTCTCAAAATAAATAAATAAAATCTTTCTTAAAAAAAAAAGAGTAAAATATTCTCATTTTGGGAAATTTGGGAAACACAGAGGAACACAAGGAAAAAACATTTTGACTCCCTTCATACAAAGAGAATCACCATTATCTTGTTGGACTATTTCCCGGCTTCTAAAAATAATCGTGATCATCTACCATGGAGCTGTTACCTGCCAGGAGACACTGTGCTAACTAAGCACCCTCCAAACAGTTCTGCACAACAGCAGTAAGAGACTTGCTATGATTTTTTTTTTTTTAAGATTTTATTTATTTATTTGAGCCAGAGAGAATGAGAGAGAGAGAGCACATGAGAGGGAGGAGGGTCAGAGGGAGAAGCAGGCCCGCCGCTGAGCAGGGAGCCTGATGCGGGACTCGATCCCGGGACTCCAGGATCATGACCTGAGCCGAAGGCAGTCGCTTAACCAACTGAGCCACCCAGGTGCCCGAGACTTGCTATGATTTTATTCTCATTTTACAAATGAGAAAACGAGAAGTTCAGTCAGACCGATCCCCTTGCCCAGAGTCCCAGGCCAAGTGACAGAGCTGGAACTCAAACTGAGATCTGATGCCAACATCCCCTTCTTTGAGCAGTCGCTACTCAAACGTCCATGATGCAGGACCATGTGACTGAGCTCGCATGGTACATACCCTGTGTATCCTCCCTTTTAAACCCACAGCCTGCCACAAACATGTTCTCATGGCATTAAAAACACTTCCACTGTACCAACAGTCCACAGTTTAACTATTTCCCTGGTGTCAGACATTAAGTAGTTCTCAGTTCTTTGCTATCACAAATAATACTCCAAATGAGTAACTATCCATCTGTCTCTGCATGCAGACAATTTCTTTAGATTCTAAAAAAAAAAAAAAAAGGATTCAGTCAGTCAATGGAGTTGAGGCAAATTGCAAGTTTGCTTGTCTCTTTCCCACCTACTTCTAGGTGGACAGACAATGAAGAGGTAGACATGAAATATTCAGCACATATGTGAAATTCTAACCACTTACACCTAAATCTTGCCCTCTCATTAAAGTCCACTAGGAGCCAAGAGAGGACCCCTCACTGGCCTCACTGCCTCGTACTCGAAAATGCCCTGCTCTTCCCACAACAGTATTGAAAAGAAAGTACTAGTTCTAATAATTAATCTTGAGAAAAGAATCACTCAAAGACCAACATGCCTCTAAAATCTTTTATATTTAGTTGAGAAAAATCCTAAACAAGAGAAAAAAATAAAATCAGTTCATTGCAACCGAGGGCCTGTGTTGACAACATGGGATACAAGCCCCTTCAAGCCTGCCCGGCACAACCTTCCTTTGCCCTGGATCCAAACGAGACGGAATGATTGATCTTCTACTGCAAAAAGGGAATCAGAATACCACTGGAGTCGTGATGTACACTAAAGGAGATCGTCGTTGGCAAATACTTAGGGCCGTGCCTGGCACATTCTTATGTGCTCAGTAAATAAGCGTTAGCTCTAACTATTCCAGTTTCTGGAAGACGAGGTACAGGTTGCTGAGCTGCATCATGGGTGTATGAGTCTGCTTGTCTCCCTACAGACCCCTGTTGTCAGCAGCACCAACTTCGGTCGGACCTCCCAAACCTCACCGAACCCATCACACACACTCCCCAGCAGCAGCATCGCTCCCTACTCCTGCCTCCACCTCTTGCCTGGAGTGCTTTCTCCCCCTCAGCTGGGGTAGGACAAAGAACATGGGCTCAGGAGTCAGACCTGAGTCTGAATTCTGACTTTGCCATTTTTTAGCCATGTGGTCCTGGGCAGGTGACTTTGACTCTCCAAACCTCAGTTTCATCACCTGCAAAATGAAGGACACAGTCCCACTCACCCAGAGGGTTCTTGAAAGGATGACAGCTAATGGGTACATTGCACCTAACACACCGCCCTTCGGCACAGGGAGGGAACCCCTGGCAAAGGGCAGCTCCCACCTTCAGAGTTGATCAAGCCTCATTTCCTCCAGGAAGTTCTCACCTGTCATGCCTTAAAATACGGACAGCACAACACATTCTATTGAGAAGTTATGTGTGCATTGCCTTGCATGTCCTACTTCATGTAGACAGATCTTATCTTTCCCATTAAATCTCTGGAAAGCAAGAACTGTATCTTAGTCTACGTAGGAGCCCAGAAATGGCAATGAAATTCTAAAACCTCTTAGGACAAATGAGAGCAGTTGGAAGTGGCTCCCGGGAACACAGGTGTTAAAAAGAATTCTGGGCCTACATTCAGGCTCGCTGGGGAAACCCGTGCTCATTAGGGGTACCTGTCGTGGGTACAAATGACAGATTGGTGACACATGACAATTATCCGCCATCCCTGGAGGAGGCACTTAGCCCCAGGTTAAGCAAACTTACCTCCACCTGTGCAGAGGTGGGGTGGGGGTGAAGGTGCAGTCGGGGTGCAGTACACTGACCTGCGTAGCTCCGCCCCGTGCTCATGTTGGTCGGTAGCAGCATCCATTTGTCGGTGACAGGATTGTAGTACTCCACCGAAGCCAAGTTGCAGGATCCATCATCCCCTCCAACCACATACAGGAGCCCATTCACTGCACAGACTCCTGGGAAGTGGAGGCCACAGGAGACATTACACAGGAGCCCCGAAGGGGGCGGAAAGGACCGGAAACAAACGTGGATGGCCCTGGAGGCGCTCCTCCTCCCCTTCAAGGCAGCCCAATGAACCGGCTCCTAGGTCTGACTTTGCTCAGTGGGAGAGCATGCCAACAACAACCCGTGGGGCCCAAGGACCCCCCCTTTCTAAGAAGGTCCCTTCTCTGACCAAGGAGCTCTCACTGCTACATGCTCCCATGGACATTCCTGGCCCCTGACCCTATAAATACCTAGAGCGTTATCGGTATGGGCCCCTCTCTACTGGAGCCTGCAGACCTCCCATGCGCAGACTGAGCTATGCTCAGGGAATCTCACACATGCTACTCCTGCTTGTAAGTTTGCCCTGATAAAGGCTGTTACATCCATACTGTGTGGCTAATGGTTATATCTGTGATGCCTCCATGTGACTTAGATCTAAACCCAGACGCAGTTTACAAGGCATTCCTCCCACTGATCTCACGGAGAGCTGGTTTGAGGGCAAAGTCTCATGCTGCAGGAAGCCAGGGGTAGGAAAATGCTATTTTGCAAGGCCATAGTCTAATACACTATGTCTTCTTTTAAAATTACATGAAGGGGTTAATGATGTTCAAGAAACAGTAATTCTAAGTACTGATGAAGATAATCTCAAATACTGGTGAGAGGATAAAAGGTACCACTTTCCTGGATGGTACCGAAAGCAAATATGCTCCCTCGGGCTCAAAAATTTCACTCCTGGACTTACAAAGAAATAATTTGAGATGTGTGCACTGATTAGCCCTAGGACCATTTACAATAACAAAAACAGTATTACTGATCAAAAAAATGGAAATAATGTCCAATAGTAGATATTTAAATTGTGATATAAATATCATGTAAATCTATTTCGTGTTATAAAAAGATAGTCATGAAAGATTGTAAAGTGGATTAGAAAAGCAGGTTATAAAACAGCATTAAGTAGGATTCCACTTTTGCTATGAAAAAACAGAACTATCTCTATGTGAATGTGTACATATATACACATTTACATCTAAACTTAATTCTTGGATTCTTGATACACTAGCTGTCTTGGGAGTTCTGTAATCCCTTGCTCATGGGGCTTAAGGCCAAATGCCAAGTTATATCACAGCAGGCTCAGGCAGTGGGCAAATTAATAAACTCCCCTCTGTTTACACTTTCAACATGTGAGCTACAAATGAGTTTAGCAAACAGGTAATTTGAGTATAAAGGAAATAAATGCGCCTGAAAGTCACCTGTTTGTCTTTCCAGCCTGGGAAGCTAAGCTAAGCCAACACATTCCTAGAGCAAAGAGGCATAAAACAAGATATACCAACAGAGGACACGATCCATAGGGCAAAGTTGTTAAAGCAAAGAGTTTAATAGGGATGTCAGGCTGCCGGAATAAAAATCTAAACACTCTAAGATAAATCATTCCCACAGCAAGGAAAAGAGAGAGGGACAGAGAGACAGGAGGCACAAAGCGAGGAATATGGGAAGTGCTCCCACTGGAGAGGGAATTAGGGCCCTGGTGACCCCCAAGAGGAAGGAGATGGGTTTCAGGTGGGAAGCGAGAGGTTCTCAGAGTCAGGTACTGGCAAAGAAAACACAGAACCAAGTGTCACTGGCCAGGTCCACACAGCCCTGTGCTTAGCTACCCAACAGAGCCAGTAGGCCGGGGGCTTGGGGGGCAATCAGAGGGCTATTTGGGTCTGTGTCCACGCGTGTACTGTGAAAGTCATCAGCCCCCTGCATCTAAGCGGGGGACCCCTCGGCTAGCGTTCGTGTTCCCCAGCTCTCCCCTCTGCTAGCCCAGCACTTACCTGGCAAAAGGATACTCCCCTTCGGGGTACAAGTTCGGGCCCAGGTTCTGGGAGTGTCTCCCCTTCCCCTTTCTCTTACAGCTGGTGTTTGCACCCACACCCCACAAGGGCAGAAGGACAGAGCGGTCGCACTACCTGCGTTTCGCCGGCACATATTCATGTCTGCCACCTGCTTCCAGGTGTTTGTTCCGGGATCGTAAACTTCAACACTCTTCCTCACCAGGGGCCCGTCGTGCCCGCCCGTGGCATATAGCTGGCCACTGAGCACCCCGACTCCTGAAAAGCAGAGCACAGCATCGCAGCCTCAGGCCGGCAACCACGACCAGAAGCCAGGAGTCCTGGCGTCCGGTCCTGGGCAGCTGTCAGCAGCAGGGCAGCCTGGGGAGTGCTGGTTTCTTCCCCCCACCCCGCCCCGGGACCTCAGGAGCCTCAGCTGTAAAACACATAGAATGACGCCCTGCCCGCCTCCTAAGCCTGTCAACCTGAGAATCCCCTACAGATAAAGCAAAAATCACCCCGTGGCTATTTAAAGAAACATAACTATACGTACGCACGTAACATATATGTGTGTATGTATGTGGGTATGAAACGGGGGAGAGAGAGTTCATATGCAAAGAAAAAAGAAAAAAAAGAAAGACTGAAAGACGCCCTCTAAAACTTCAGGAGCAGTTATTTCCAGAGGGTCAAAGTTGGCCTCCCTTTGGGCTGTCTGTGTGGCCGAGTTTTTCTGCCACGCCGTACTACTCATATTCTGCAGCCTTCTATCACAGTGGTTGTGTAGAAAGGTGCAAAGTGGAAATGAGCCGTGCAACCGACCACGCAGACCGCCCTGCCCGGGAGGCAGAACCCGTTCTTTCTGCCCCGCGCTCTCCTCTCAGCTTGCTGGGGAGGGAGGCCTTCCATCACTCCTGATGTTGAGAGGCCTGAGCCAACTCCTAGAATGGCATCACCGACAGGATTTAGAATTACCTTTTAAAATCCTTTCATGCAAGTCACAGGAATCAAAGCCAGCAGGAAGGAGGGTGGCACAGGACCCCCGAAAGAGCAACAGACCTGGTGGCCAGGACACGTGGGGTCTGGATCTGTGTCTCTAACTTGCCCTTTGTGGGCCTCAGTTCTCCACTCTGCAAAGCGAGGGAGCTGGACTGCATGGATAGCTCCAGGGGACCACGGACTACTCCACCCCACCACAGGCTGCATCTCAATCGGATGGGGAGACTTTGAAAGGAGAGATTCCAGAGCCTCACTCCCAGAGACCCTGGCTGGGAATCAGAACAAGGACCTCAGGTGATTTGGGGATGTGCAGCCAGGCGTCAGACCCGACCGCTCGGTTTCTAGGATATAAGCTTCCCGTGGACAAGGCCCCTGCCTGGCTTGTCTCATCTGTTTTCCTGGGCCTGACGGTACTGGGTTTATTGTTTGAATGACGCAGTATGTAGAATGCCATCGAGCAATTATGCTGGCGTGCTAGCGGTTCCTCACAGTTGCCTGAAACTAACAGCAGATGGTGGTGTTGTATCAACAACGGATAGCTAGCAGACCTGGGCTCAACAATTCAGCATGTTCCAAAGCAGCCTCATGGCCCCTCCTGCACGCTCAGCAGGATCTAGCTCAGCCTGGGTCCCAGAGATGGACTCTTTACCCCCCCCCCACCATCTGCTAGCATGGCTCACGCCCTACTGAAGAAGCAAGCAGCGTTCCAGGCCCTCGGGGTCCCCCTTGCCCTTCTGTAGCCTCTTCCACAAATGTTCACACAGACGTTTCCTGGACCCTGAGCCACAGGGGCTCCTGGCACTTCAAAGGGCCAGAGGCAGCCAGAGGCCAGAGTCCTTGAGTCTTCAGCCACCAGAGAACACCCACCATCACAAGTATGTGGGTTCTGCACTCCAGAGGCGCGGCTTTCCCAAATCTCAGGGACACAAAGCACGAAACGAAAGCTGACCTGGGAGCCTGATGCCAGGGCTCTGACAGTAAGGTGAGTAAAGAGTCCGCCTCTGGGAGAGAGAGCATCCCCTAAATTGAGTTCACCCAGGGACACGGGCAGGAGAGATGCCACCGTCGAGGGCCGCTAGCCCAGGTAAAAGTAAGAGCAGCTCAGGTGAATTCCACACAGCAACAATCCCTGGGAAGCCTGTCCGAGACAGCGGTTGGCCTCCAGAGGCAGAGCTAGGGCAGCTGAGGCAGGTCTCCTAGTAGCTCCACACGGGGCTGCCCCTCCACCCTTTCTGCTGGAGACGTCCCTAGAAGCAGCCCCCATCTCGGGGCTGCCCCACTCCTCCCAAACTGTTCCTGCATCCTTGAGCTTTGAACTTGCTCTCACACCTCAAGTCACAGAGGATTCCTAGGAGGTACAAAGACAACTCTACCAAGACTCCATAAACCACAATTACTGAAAGAGCTCTGTGAAGGGAGAGGAGCCACGAGATGTGTGAACTGCACTGGCCCCGAAGGAACTCCTACTACCACCCACTCATTTCACATTTGAGGAATCAGAAGCCAGAACGGGCGAAGGGACAGGCTCACGGTCACAAGGCAAGTTCGAGCAGACCCAGCACTGAAGCAGAGGTGTCCTGACTTCAGGCATTTGCTCCATGTTCTTTTCAGGAAAGGCCAACTGGTCAGAATCAGCAGAAACAAGCCCACTAAAAATAGCAATCCAAACACAAATGCTTCTTAAATGGGACCATACACCTTTCTTTTTCTTTTCTAACTAGTGAGCACACAAAGGTTTTTGAATAATATTAAAACAGCATGATTTTTAAGGAATGCTGAAGAAGTGGTCGTGTATTCGGTACTATAAAGTGAGATCACAATTCAATCTTCAAAAATACAAAGAAGAAAAAAATACATATATAAAAGAAAGACCTTGAAGGCATTATACTAAGTAAAATAAGTCAGACAGAGAAAATATCAGATGATCTCCACGTATATGCAGAGTCTTAAAAAAAAAAAAAAAAAATCAAAGCTCACAGTATAGAGAACAGACTGATGGTAGCCAAGGGCAGGGAACTAGAGGGTGGGCCAAAAGGGTGAAGGTGGTCAAAAGGTACAAACTTGCAGTTATAAAATAAAAAGTCATGGGGATGTCCTATACCAAATGGCAACTACAGTTAATAATACTGCATTTCACATTTGAAAAGTTGCTAAGAAAGTAGATCTTAAAAGTTCTCATTACAAGGAAAAAAAATTTTGCGGCTATGTGTGGTAACTGATGTTCATGTATGTGGTGATCATTTCATAATATATACAAATACCAAGTAATAATGTGGTAGACCTGAAACTAATATAGTGTTGTATGTCAGTTACACCTCAATTTTAAAAAACACAAAAGAGAAAGGAAGAGCATTGTGGATGAAAACTCCCAAACGCAGCTTCCCTTCGTGGGAGTCACACAACCTTCCCACCAGGCCCAGGCTGGTCAACACTCACCACCCCCCAAAAGAATGAGAACGGAGAGCCAGGGCCCAGTGTCCAGTGTCCAATGCCTCTGTCTGTCCTCTCAGACCCTTTCTTTGGGCCTCTAAGATGATGGGGGCTGTTGTTCCACTTCCTGGAAAATCCCCAAGGAGCACACGGCCCCTGGTCTTCCCACAGGATTCAGAAGTGAGCCACACTGTGAATGCCTTCCCTTTCCATGTGCGGAAGAGGGCACGGGGGTCGGGGGGAGGGCAGGCAGAGAGAGAGAAGTTTATCTCCAAACAGGAACACCGACAGCTTGGCTTTCAACCCCCAAGACAGAGACCCCAGACAGGCAGGCTTTAATTTCATCCGCCAAGACTGGGACAGCCGTGCTCACCCTACTACTGCCTAAGAATGAGGCTGTAATAATTTAGAGGCCAAAAATGCTAACTTTGGAGATGAAGCTGAGTTTGGAGACGAACTACCAGTTATATGACCTTGGGCAAATTACTCGCCCCCTAATCAACTTACTTTCTGTTGAGTGGAATTAATGTTGTGTCTACCTCTTAGGGCAGTGGTGAGGATTAAATAAATTCAAGTACAGAAGGTGCTTATTGGGACAGCACATGGCACATAGTGAGCCTTCACTTTCCAGGGATGCAGATGTCTCCATGGAAATGGAAGGGATGACGGCGAAGAGAATATCCCCTGGGAGGGGCTCGTGTTGAGCTACGAAGGTGCCAGTGGGATCACAGACATTAAAAGGAAAGAAGGTAAAATAAGGTAGAATGTGCACCTGCTGGTCTCCAGGCCCACCTGAGAGCAGATCAGACACAGCCCGCGCCCCGAGGCTCCCCCCGTACCTGCACCACTGCGGCGGGTGCTCATGTCTGCCACGTACGTCCACTCATTGGTTGCCGGGTTGTACTGCTCCACGGTGCTCAGGCACTGGCGGGAAGCCCCATCATAACCCCCGACAGCATACAGCTTCCCTGGAACAGATGCAGTGGCTGAGGGTGGTGCCGGCTGAAACTCCATCTTTAACTCGCGGGGGGCACCTTCGACTCCATCAGAGGTTCAGGGTCCCTTTCCTCCAGAGGAACCACAAACCAGACTAGGCATTCTTCACATATCTGCCTTCTGCTTCCTCGTAAGCCATGAGGCTCCCTGAAGCAGTACTGAGCATCCTTCTAAATCAGCACCCTAAATATTCATGCAAAGCTACGGCCTGGCTTCTCTGGGGCTCAGCCTACTCTTGCCAGCGCACTACATGAGAACTTCTCCAGAATAAGGCGACGAAGACAGGAAAAGCTAGAGGGCCCCAGCTACAGGCAGGCAGGCTGACTTTCTGGCTAAAGGCTCACAAGAGCAGACCAAAACAAGTATGGGAAAATATTCTTCGGTGAGAACTCAATCCCTGTCTTCACCATCAGTCATGTGCTGTGTCCACAATGCCAGCAAGTGGGGCATGTGGATGGCTTGGAGCCATGCACAAGATCCCTGAAACACCACCACCCATTTTTTAAATAAAAATACTGTAAGCTGCTACCCAGAAGCATCACTTCTGCCTGGAGCTGGGTATGAGGCTGGACAAGGGGCAGGAAATTGGCATGAGAGCGCTCCCAGAGCAGAGATTCAAATATGGAGGGTCTCCTCTCGCTCCCTCCCCCATCCCTCCCTCCCTTCCTCTCCCTCTCTCTACCCTCCCCCTCCACCGAGTGCCTCTGTGTGTGTGTGTGTGTGTGTGTGTGTGTGTGTGTGTGTGTGTGTGTGTGGCAGGGGAAGTCCTACCTCACCTGTGGGCCACAGACCGATGGGGAACAAGTGAGTTATAACAAAGATCTTAAACACTAGCTGTAGACCAAATGAACACCGCCCAGTGCAAATCCACTTAATAGAGTTACTAACTAAAAGAGGTTTTTTTGTCACTATGTGCTTTACTAAGGGAGAGATAACGAAAGCACAACTATTATTTGGAAGTCTGCAATTCTTTTAAGTTAGAAAGAGGCTCAAAACTGTGCTGGACCATCACGACTATTGACGTATCAAATGTAAAATTATTTCTTCCTCTGTCATTGAGGCTGGTTTTGTTTTCTGCCCCAGAGTCCTCTCCAGTGGAGCTTCTAAAAGAAAGGGACACCTCCTCCCCAGTTCTGCCCTCATCTAAGCCAGAAGAAAAATGCCTGATCCAGAAGCTCTTCCAGGGTCCAGGGTGCTCCTGCGACGTGCGCTGGCCAGGACACAACCACCTACCCACCCAGCTGCCCACCACTCGCCAAAGCCTAAGTCACTCGGGGAGGAGGAAGGCCTGGGGTGTAGAGGAGATGAGAATCTCCCGACGGCAACCCCAGAGTCATTCAGACCAGGCAGCCATGGAAGGAGACAGGGAGAAGGAGAGTACTGTGACAAAGTGGAGAGCCAAAACTACAAGGCCACAGGCAAGCAGAGGCCCCATGAGATCCTCCTGAAACATTCTCCTAAGCACTGGGAGGAGGACCCTCTGCTGCCCCAGGGTGACCCACAGCCAAAGGACTTCAAAGTCAGGGTGCACAAGATCAACACATTGCCAGGCTGCCCTCTGTGGCAACAGGCACTCTACAAGACAGCATTCCTCCCACACACAGAACGTGCTCCCAGGAGCCCTTGTCAAGGGGAGTATTTCAAAGCACTACCATGGAGGCAACTTCTCGAACCCCCACCAACCATCTCAACCTTGCGTCAGCTGCAAAAATACCCACTCAAGGTTTCTCCTTGAGTCTATTAACAGGGACTTGCTATTTTTAACCCCTACTCTATTGTTTGATATTCCTGGCTGAGGAACAAGGTGGGGGAAATGGGAAGGTGGCTAGACAAAGCACTTATATTTGGCAGACAAATCAATTTCTGTTCCACCAGGAGGATGAGATTGCAAAAAAAAAACAAACAATTTATCTTGATAGGAGGACAAAACCCTTGCACTCCCCAAGATGACTTATTTAGTATGTTAGGATGATACGTACTTTTAAATGGAAATTTATGTAATACTGGTACAAACCAAGAAAAGCAGGGAGAGAAAAGAATATTTCTGTCAATGTCTAATCGCTGCACGTTACACTCTCCCCAAAGCAAGTACGTGTGTTCTTGGGGGCGCACATGAGAGAAAGAGAATGTCTGCATAGAAGTCTAAATGCACAGATATTCCAGCTAAATTCCCTTTCAGGACAGGCTAATGAATCAGTGTTGTCCTACAAAGGATAACATTTTTGTCTTAACTCATACTCTATGCTTTAATACACTGAATTCACACGTATTTATAAAACTCCCTATTAGCATTTGCTAATGGTCTGAAAGAGTGTAGCATAATGGAAAAAGCCCTGAGTTGGGAGTCAGAAGACCCGGGGTTAAGGACTGGCTGTGCTATTGACTAATGGGCACAGCACGTGTCCCTCTGGCACTCCACGTCCCCATCTGCAGAATGGAGAAAATCTAAGCCCTGCCTATCTCCTTCAAAAGGTTTAGGGAAAAAAATTTGTATATAAAAGAGTCCTTTATAAACTACAGAGCCCTGTCTAACTGGGCCCCAGACCTCATCCCTCCCACCCGCCTCACCCACACACTCTTCCTGACGAGAGCAGGACTCTCCCACCCACCTGTCCTGCAGTGACAGTAATCAGACCTGGGAAGAAATGTCCACCTCACTCAAGGCTCTGTTCATGTGTTAATGGTCAACAGAGGAACAGGAGGACAAAATTAAACAAAATGAACTCTGACCCCCACCCCATTATACTCCCAGGTTATATGTTAACTCTAGATTCCTCAACCTGTGACAAAACTGGTGACAAGTAGCCAAAGGGACAGGCCAGTGTTCCCCCTTAGGCTCCTCTGACTCTTCCCAACACGGCGGGCCACCCGCTAGCCTCGAGCCAGTAGCTGCACTTCTCTGCACCTCAACCTTCCTCACCGATTCTGTCAGGATGCTGGTACCTGACTCAGAGCCGTGATGGGAGGAACAGAGCCAGGGCACTAGGACAAGACCCATGGGCTGGGGCACAGATGGGCGGCTGCCCCCTGCCGTTCCTTACCCTCCACGACACCCACACCCACGCTGCTCCGCCGCGTGTTCATCGGGGCCACGAAGAACCACTCGTTGGTCTTGTAGCTGTAGGCTTCCACGGACGCTAGGCCTGGGAGACAAGAGACTCATGAGGATTCTACGGTGCCAGGCCTCACCCAGTGTGCCCAAGTGAGGCTGGGAGAGGGTGAGAAGCCCACTTGTGAGGCTCAGCACCACCTCTCCCTTGCCATGGGGTCTGGGGCACCTCCCTGAGGCACATCTACAGTGAGTACCTGAGAGGTCCACCAAGGCCTGACTCAGGGCGGGTCATGAGAGGACACGGGGGTACAACAGAACTGCCCTGCAAATGTAAACTGTTACACCTACAGAATGGAGGGAAAATAGGAGGTTGCCTCACCGAACACCTTCTTTTCCCTTCTCTTCCTCTACATTAGAAGCTAGAAATCTCAACACTTACCTTCCCAGACTCCCTAGGGGTGACCCAGTCAATGAAGCCCAAGCAGAAGTCTCATGGGCATTTCTGAAATAGTCTTTGTTTTTCTGATATAGGTGCAACACCAACCTGCTTGCTGCTACCTGGAATACCAGTGTGCTGGCTGGAGCTGTAACAGCCATCTTATGATCAGGAGGATACAGCCAAGGGACGTTTAAAGAGCTTGGCCCCAATATTCTTGAGCAAGGGGATGAAGTGAGCAACTGCCAACTTCCAGACTCCTTGTTTCATGGGTAAAACAGTTACCTCTCAATTGTTTCAGCCACAGTTTGGTGAGGTTTTCTACTTGCAGCTGAGAGCAATTTCTAAAAGAGACAACGCTCCACTCCCTTTTTTTCTCTTTATTACTCAGGTCCTACCCACTACAGGCAGCCCCTGGAGGAACTGCAGACCCTGGAATTTTATGAATGAGGCAAAGAGAAGACTGGGAAAGGTTACCAAGTGGTAAAGACACAAATGAAAATTCAGGGAAGTAAAAAATATTGTTTTCCACATCCCTGGGGGCATTTCAGTAACAGAGTTACTGTCTACAGAGACTTTCACCTGGAGGCATAGGAGAGATGAGATAATCTCTCCAAGTCCACATCTATTCGTAGTTTCTGATTTGAACTCTGAAGTGACACAGAAGCCAGGAGCAAGGGGACGCTCCCGCAGTGACACAGCCAGGCAAAGCTTCTTGGGGCAGTAAAAAGGCAATGGACAAAGATGGCAGGGCCCGGGCGCCTGGGTGGCTCAGTTGGTTAAGCGACTGCCTTCGGCTCAGGTCATGATCCTGGAGTCCCGGGATCGAGTCCCACGTCGGGCTCGCTGCTCAGCGGGGAGTCTGCCTCTCTCTCTGACCCTCCCCCCTCTCATGCTCTCTATCTCATTCTCTCTCAAATAAATAAATAAAATCTTTAAAAAAAAAAAAAAAGATGGCAGGGCCCGAGCCAGGTCTCTCCCATGGCTGAACCCCAGCTCTCTTGTCCATCCAGCAGAGGCTTCGGACAGTCCTGAGATGCCCTGCAGCTGAGCATGCTCTCTTTCTAAGTCCTGTCTTTCGAAAAAATGGGTTCCCATATAATAGAGAGGAGAAAAGGACCTCTTCTGAGCGCAGGATCCTTCCTAGAGTCCTAGAAATGATAGCATGTGGGCAGTTACATATCTTGTGTATAGGAAGGCCTGGCTCTGGCAAGCAAGGTAGGAGATGAGGCAGGATGAGTATGCTGTTGAGGAAGGAGCTATGGATGGACAGAAGGTTGGCCCAAGAACTGGCTGAGCAACCAGGGTTGCACTGAGGGCATGTCCCAGGCTGGGAGGAGTGGGGACCACATCGCAGACCTACCAGTACTGCCATCAAAGCCCCCCACAGCGTAGAGCAGGTCATTGAGTACGGCTGCGCCCAGAGTGCTCCGGCGCTCCTGCATGCTGGCGATGGATGTCCACTGGTCCTTCACACCGTCATATACATCCACGGTTCGCACTCGCAGTGAGCCATTAAACCCGCCCACAGCATACACGTGACCAGCCATGAACACCACACCTGCACACAGGAAACCAAGGCATGGAGGTCATCTCAGGCGGCCGATCACTCATGCGGTGACGATGTGACAACAGGGGAGCCAGGCAGTCCCATGAATAATTCACCACAGTGATCTCCAACTTCACAGAACTGGAAGTGTTCATGGGGCTCACTGGATTTCTATTCATATATGCTTTTCCAATGTTGTTTGATTCAAGCAAATACTTGTCCTAGCGTGAAGTCCCTAAGCACAAAGGAACCGACCCCAGAAGGGGCAGCCAGAAATCGGGCAAGTGGAGAAGGAAGAGGAGGAGAGGCTGTAAATGCATAGATGTTTGTGGACACAAGGAGCAGGGGAGGGTTTCCGGCAGTAAGCAGAGACAAGCTGGGGAAAGGCAGGCTGCAAAATGACAGATGGTGCTGCTCACCTGCTCTGCATCTCCTGGAGGGAAGCTCGGCAATCTGGTCCCACCGGTCCTCTTCGAAATCATAGCATTCCACGCTGCGGATCGCCTTGGGGGCCTGGCCACCAACCACAATCATGACCTCCAGAAAAACAAACAGACATTAGCTGGGTCTCCCCAGCTAATGGATGCATGTGTGATCAACCCCTGGTCCTTGCACACGCCAACTGCCCAGGGTCCATGAGTGACCTGACATGCCAGTTTACAGAGTTACATACATGGAGATGCTACCCCGAATCACCAACAAACAGGACGATTCAAGAAAAGTCTAACAAGGACATCTTGCCACAGAAACACCATCATAAGGTCTACACTTCCCAAATACCTATGCTCAAGGCTATGCTGGTAGTACGTGTAGCCACTCAGGGCCTGCTCTACAATCTCACTGCCCTCAAGGATCTGGGCCGGGGGGATGAAATTTTGTATCAAAACAAAATATTCCAAAATATGTGTCAAAACTTGAATCTATTTTGGAATAGAGTGCAGAACTTGGATGCATTTTGAGGAGAAAACTACCTCAAAAATATTTCTGAATACACAGACTACAGGGAACACTTACTCATTGTAGTCTGGGGCAAAATTGTGAAAGACTGCTTTGGGGTAGTGACCACAGAAATGTATATAACTGATGATGCTCTGAAAAACAGTGCTAACAATACTGTTCCCACAAGTATGGTAGTTGCTACCAGTGCCAGTCAGCATGTGAAATGTGTTGTCATTTACGTGTCACCAAAACCCCATGAGGGAGATATTATCCATATTGACAGATGAGGAAGTTAAAGCTCAGAGAACATAAGTAAATTGCCTAAGGTCATGTAGGTCTCTCCTGGATAACAATTAAAACGTATTTCTTACTGTAGGGTATCATCAGAAAAGAAAGAAAGAATGAATGAAAGCCACTGGTCCGGCTATAGTAACAGAACCACAGCATTTAACTGTGGTATCCCTGTTGCCAAGATTTTTGTCACACGTTATTCATCAATAAAAAATAAAGTAGCCAAGTTAATAATAGTGTACACATTTTAATAAACTTGTGCAAATTCATGGCCGCCCCCATTAGGACATCACGCTCACTGGCATTCCAAGATGCCTTCTTCTGTGGCAAGAAAGGGGTGGAAATCACAGGCAGCCCATCAGTAGGAGTCTCAGGATGTTCTCATTACCTGTAGCTTGTATTATTTACTCCTATGTTTCTCAAGCTTCAGTGTGCATCAGAATCACCTGGGGGGTTGTTAAGACACAAATTATTGGGCCCCTGCCAGAGGTGCTGATTCAGCAGGTCTGGAGTGGGACAGAGAATGGGCATTTCTAACAAGTTCCTGGTTGAGGTTGATGCTGCTATTCCGAGATTCATACTTCGATAACTACTGTTTTCACCCTTGGACCACAGGGTTTGCTGATGTTCCATTAACAATTTCTGCCATTATGAACTACCATAGTACTTTTACTTCTCCACAACAAATGTTCGGGGAGAGGAGTGATGATCAAAATCTATGTGAGCTCCCAAGAGTACATGCCTCAGATGAACAGCATCTACACCAGGAGGCAGAACTGGAGCCGACAACTAGTGCTCATCCACCATTTATGCCCCAAGACTCCAGATCCAGGCTCACCCACTGCCCACATGCGTGGTCACAGCTGTCTGTGGTCAAATGTGGGTGTCCAATGTTCAAAAACTCAGAAGTCACTTCTGACTTCTGGAACATTCCAAAGGAACCCAGGACACACGGTCCAAGCTTAGACTACTGTGACTACTTCTGGAAATAAACATTCTACATTTGCCTCTCCATTAGGCAGCTCAGGGGGTCTGCTGCTCTGTGTCAAGAGGGGCCCTTGTCAGAGAAAAGCTGAATTCGACATTACTTCCCTTCTGTAATCCTTTGCTTAGGCATCCAAGAACAGTTTAAGGGGGATGTTAATGAACACAGCCTCTTGGCAAACTCAGACTATGCCCACCTTACTCCTCCAGGGCCCAGTGACTTGCCACGCATTCTTAAACATGCCTAGAATGCGCACTGTCCTTCTGGTTTTGAGTTGGTAAAGCTAAAGCGAAGGCACAATACTGTAATAATTTTCTATGAAATCTGGTTTGGGGGACTAAGTAAGAACAAAACCAGGTTTTAGTTTTCTTTCTGCAAACACCTCAGGCACTCAACACCTTCTGTTCCCTCTCCATGAAACATTCTTTCCCCTGTCTGGATCCCTCTGCTCTAACACATGCTTATCTTTCAGGTGTCAGTTGACCAAGTGTCACCTCCTCCAAGAGGACTTCTCTGATCTCACATCTGAGTTACTGTCCCTTCTCTACGATCACACATGCCCTGGGTTCTCTCATTAAAACTGCCCCACATTGTGCTGTAACTGCCTGGCTACCTTGTCTCCCTGGTGAGATGGTGACCCTGGCCAGGACAGAAAATGTATCTACCTCAATCACCAAGATAATCCTAGGGCCTCATGGTGTCAGGTAAAAGTAGGTCTCAGATACTTGGAATAAGGAATGAACAAATGGTTAGTAGCATACGCAAAAAGCCAAACCAAAAAATACAGAGTCAAATGGAAGAAAATACACGGTCTAGAATGTCACTTTCTGGGATTAAGATATGTTGGACACTAGATTACAATTCTGGAGACAGAATTTGAGAGGAAAAAAAATAAATAAAAAGAGAAAAAGAGAACTTTTCCCATCTTTTCACTCAAGCACCAGGAGAAAGACTGCTTATTCCCTGTACAAGTTAACAGGCTTCCTCGGTAAATAAAATTTTAAAAAATAAAACAAAATAAAGGCAAAGCTTTCAAGGAACCTCACCATGCCCCAGAAACCATCTTATGCCAGGGGTAGGGAGGTATATTCGTACTGGAGAAAATCCAGTACTCATCTCTGAGAATTTTCAGAGTCACACAGAAACACATTATACAAATGCAAAAAAATGTCAATGGTAAGGTAAAACCTGAGTAGAAAGACAAAAGTAATACAGAACAAGGTTTTGAAAATAAACTTGCCTTGGAGTTTATAAAGCCACTGCTGAGACACAACTTTTAATATTCAACTTGTACAATAATCTGGGAAGAGTAATTATGAGGTTTTGTGGGGTAGGACCATTGGTTTCTGAAGATGCAGAGGTAGCTCAAGGCAGGGGGAGGAGAAGGTGTACCTTCTGCTTCTTTCACAGGCCTAAGAAATCCAATTTCTATGGCAGGCCTTGCAAGAAGCCATCACACAAGGAACGCTATACTCGTTGTGTAATCGTGCAGAGTAAAAGAAAAACATTTCCTATCTTGAATACTAACGGAAGACTGTTTCCATAGATACCTGATCTTAGCAACCAATTAGACAAAAATGAGTACTCCCCCGAGTCTACATGCATGACATCTCTAAAATTATAAACCTCTAGCTACTTAGGAAGACCGTAAGATGTCAGGGCATGAAGACAATTAAACAGTTCTTTCCTGCAAGCCCTCATTTTACATTTCCAGAAAAACTCAGGCCCAGGATGTTTCCCAAGCATATTTCTTTCTGTCCCCCACACCCCTGAGTCCCAATTTACTGAAGACTTGTAATGCCAATAATAGAAATTACTGAGTCCGATCAGCTAAATGATTGCTATTTTTAACATGTATCCTTTAAGGTAACCCTGAGAAAGAACTACCAGGGGTCATACCGGCATCACAATAAAGAACTGGTTCCAGGCTAACAATTATGCTAGACCAAACACAATTCACTCATGTTCAAGAAGTGCAGTGTACTTGGGAGTCTGGCAGCACACCGCAGGGTCCTAACCCCAAGTCTCAAGAGCCACGGTGTTGAAGGCTGCAGAAGTTCTGGTGGATGGAGAATTCTGGTTGACAGAATACAGGTGAGCCAGACTCAACCGTGGGCGGCAAGGCTGTTGGACAACCCCCAAGGGAAACACTCTCATTTTGGAAAGTCCAATGGCCATTTATTGTAGGGAGCTTAGTGAGACCATGGAAAGACTACCTGATTCCTTAGGAAGGAAATTTCACTCCCAGCCTAACAAGATGGTTTTTAAATAAATATATAAGGCTGTCTCCTTCCATGGAGGGATTTAGACTGCAGCACCGTGCTGGGGGAAGTGAAGGCATGTATGAGTATGACAACCAGTCTGTGTGAGAGCCATGAGGTACCCGGTACCCGAGACTAGCCAGGGACAGGTGCAGTAGGGGAACAGAGCAGAGCTTTCTGGCTCACCTGTCAGGCACGACCCTAACCTCTAAGTCATTAGACTCTCCACTATGGTGAGAGGAACGATCTGGGCTCTGTAAATTTTTTTCATCAGGCAAGAGTGGAGGGTGTGTCCAAACTCTCTTCCATGACCGGTGAGCTGGGCAGAAGGCAGGCCCAGCCAGTCGGTCCCTCGGGCCAGGGCAGGAAGCGAGAGTCTCTCTTACCCTGGTGCGTGGGGCCGCAGGGCTAACACCAATTCATCCGAAGGAGCATGTCGAGGTCGAGGCAGAAGACTTGTCCCAGCAGGTTCCTGAGCAACAGGTGCTCAAGGCAAGAACTGACAGCCAAAGTGCAGAGACAGTGTGGCGGGTGGAGAACCAGCAATGTGAGAGCAAGACCCAGGGGAGGGAGAGGGAGTGGGAACATGGATTTTGGAGTCAGACACATCTGGGCTCAGGTTATCAGCCCAGTCACTAAATAGCTATGTGACCATGGGCAAGAAATTTAACCTTGCCAAACTCACTTTCATTACCTATATTATCAGGATAATAGGATGTTTCTCTCATGGGTGTCAGGAGCCTTAAAGGACAAAAAGCACGTAGCACACAGCTTGGTACATCACACACACTAAATGTTAGCTTCTATTATTCAATTGACACCAGCATCATTACTATTGTTTAAAGCAGTTGTTAAAAAACAGACTCCCCATAAGTGGTAGAAAAGGACACCTATGATCTGTGAATAGGAGACTGAGCCCCACTAATTCCAGGGTGATGATGGGGCTTTTTCAGGACCCCAGGGTGTTTTCTAGGTGTGGCCTGGGTCCATCTGAAGGATCATGATGGAAGAGGAGCAGTGCCCACCCAGGGGCCTGGCCCAGCTGGAGAAGTCACCCTACC